CTCTCTCTCTCTCTCTCTCTCTCTCTCTCTCTCTCTCTCTCTCTCTCTCTCTCTCCCCCCAGCTTTTTGTTTTCAAACTTCGTGGACGTAGAAGAGGGAGATAGCCATGAGGATAAGCAGGATGAGCGAGAACTGAACTTGAGGAGTGACGTGGACTTCAGAAAAGGATATGGAGGAGCAGGATGAGAAGGACACTGATGCGAAGGGGGGCGAGATAGCAAGGATCCACCCTCGACGCGTGTCGCAAGGATCCACCGGCCAGCCAGGTCTCTCTCTCTCTCTCTCTCTCTCTCTCTCTCTCTCTCTCTCTCTCTCTCTCTCTCTCTCTCTCTCTCTCTCTTGGAGGGAGAGGAGTGATCTCAAGGAGTGGGAGAAGGGATGTTGAGGAGGGGGAGGAAAAATGTCAAGGGGGGATAGGAGGAGGGATGTTGAGGTGGAAGGGGAGAGATACTGATGGGAGAGGAAGGATGCCAAGGGATGAGGAGGAGAGATGATGAGGAATAATATGTTTTTTTCTTGCCAAGGGATGAGGAGGAGAGATGATGAGGAATAATATGTTTTTTTCTTTCTTCCTTTCATGCTGTGTTGTTCGGACTTGAGCTTGTGGGATCGTTTTTCGTAATTTCCTATATTTAAGCTAGGGGGTTTGTCTGCTCACGGGAATCAATCTGTCAGTCAATCAATCAATCAATCAACCAAGATTTGATTGATGATTAGTTTGATTGATTTGATTGATTGATTGATTGATTGATTGATTGATTGATTGATTGATTGATTGATTGATTGTTTAGTTGAAATTAGTTGCCTTCGGTACGTACTGTACTGTTTGCTTCCGTTGTGAAGAAGGTATAGTGTCTGCTGTCTCCCCTCCCTCTTTTTTTTTAATTCCTCCCCCCCCTCCCGCCCCCTTGTTCAAGACATTTCTGGTGCTGCAACACCCCATCTGGACCTTCAGGGTCTGGTACTGTCTGGTGGTCTGGATGTTCAGACAGGGTGGGCCGGCGTTCGGGTCCATGGTTACCATGACTCAGATCCCAACGGCACTGGCATTGCGCAATTGACTGCCTGTTAACTTAGTCTGCAGCATCTTGGCGCTGGGACAAGGTCAGTGATCTGTGGCCCTACCACTTCTCTCTCCAATTACTCGTGAAACTGGCACTCTGGAGCATATGGAAATGAACATGTCCTTACAACATTGACAGAGATACCTTGGCCAAAGAAGCAGCATGGGGGTTGTCGATTAGAACCGACGAAGTGCTGCTAAGCTCACRGTGAAGCTCAAACCAGAGAGGTGAGGTTTAAACCATCGTTACATGMWASCYWRGCCAAAGAAGCAGCATGGGGGTTGTCGATTAGAACTGATGAAGTGCTGCTAAGCTCACAGTGAAGCTCAAACCAGAGAGGTGAGGTTTAAACCATCGTTACATGCAAGCCAAGCCAAAGAAGAAGCATGGGAGTTGTTGATTAGAACTGATGACGTGCTGCTAAGCTCACAGCGAAGCTCAAACCAGAGAGGTTCAAACCACCAGTACATGCAAGCCATCGGTCGCGGGCCCATCTCGGAGGCTGCCCACCGCCGATTTATGTTATCGAGAGTGAGTGAGTTTCCTAAATTTTAGGAGGCTCAATCGGATTTTTAACTTGGCAGGAGCCATGCACTGGTGCTTTAAACCACTAGTATCTTTCCTGCATGGAAAAATAGGGAAAACTGACAGTTTTTCCGAACTTCTGAATTTTCGGAGGTCGGGCCCAACGACGACTGCCATTGATAAATCTGATCGGTGGCAGGCATTTCGTTTCGGTCTCTGAAAATGTCGGACGCCTACCCGAGGCCCGTTATTTTCCCAAGCGGCAAAGGTACTAGTGATTTAAGGCCAAGAACCGAGCTTTCCACAGGGACTGGCGGCTTGAGGGGAAGGTAGTGATCACTGTCAATGGCCGACTGAGATGGGAAGAACTGTCTGGTCTGTCCCCCAACAGACATCAACATTGATTACTGGACTTGCTCAACCGGTGAACTCCTACAGTTCTTGGTAATCGTGCTACTCCGATGATCCCAACACACTGGGATTAAGAGGAACTCAGTGCATCAGGCTATAGGGCATTCGGACATTCGATCCTCCTGCAAGGAGTAATCAATGCTGGTTAGGTGTCCTTTGGTTCATAAACAGGAGGAGGAGAATGGGTCACATCTTATCTGTTTGACTTGCCAGTGGAATCAGACCAGACTGGCAGTGCCCAGGATGGACAAGGGGCCAGGACCCGAAGTTCCTGTTTAAAATCATTGGAAAAAGGCAGCTGGTTAAAACGCAAGCATACCGCTCAGGCAAACTTCAGAATTGAAAATGAGTCATTCTAAAAAGTTTGGATGAACAGTGCTATTGGATGAACATGGCTGGCGGCGTGAGCCTAAAATATAACAAAAAGGCCACGCTGGCGGTTTGGCAAAGCTTGCCGCGCAGGGGGAAGACTCAAATGGACTTGTGTGGTGTAATGGAGTGTCTGTTCACTTTTGGTCTGGGTAGGCAGTTTTTATAGGTGACTTTCTGTTCGTTTATTTTCCAATGCTCTCATTCCCGTTTTTCCTGCTATGTCCCGAGCCGGCACTCAACCCGGGCATAACCAGAAGGAAAATGTTGATGATGCCAAGCAAAATGAAAATGTTTTTACCATAGTTGCGGTGCACGTGTGCGGTGCGTGGTGCGCGCCCCCAGCAGCCATACCAACGGAGGAAGAGAGATGGGGAGGAGGTGTGTGTGTGTGTGTGTGAGAGAGAGAGAGAGAGAGAGAGAGAGAGATGGTGGAGTAGACATGGGGGAGGAGAGACGGAGGAAGAGAGATGGGGAGGAGGTGTGTGTGTGTGTGTGTGTGTGAGAGAGAGAGAGAGAGAGAGAGAGAGAGAGAGATGACGCGCCCAGCCTCGTGCTATGTCCATCGATAGGATGAGCAAAATCGGACGAATCTACGGCGATAACATGGAAATATTCACCGCCAAACTTGTTTGTTTGGTTCCATGTGTGTGTGTGTGTCTGTGTGAGAGAGAGATAGAGAGGTGGTGGGCGCCCACCTTCATGGCTGCCCGCCCGTCTGCCGCTTCCCGCTGCCCTTCCAGGCGCTGCTTCGAGCTGATGGTGTCCTGCGGCTGCCGTACACCGATGATGTCCCGCCATGTCCCTCCCTCCCTCCTTTGTCGGTGTCCCCGGCTTTCCCGCTTCTCCCACCTTCATCGCTCTCCCCTCGCTGCTCCCCGCCTACGTTGCCCACTTCTTGGTCGTCCCTCGTATCGTATCTCCCTCCCTCCTTCACGACGTAAAGATTCAAATGGCGAGGGGGCACGCGACGCCGTGTTAACTGCTGTCCCCCTTCTCCGAATTCTTTTAAGGGGAAGGGCCTGCCGAATTTGAAATTTCAGCAGGCCCTTCCCCCAAAAACAATTTCGGAGGCGGGGCGCAGCCGGTTTCCCGACTCGCTCGCCCCGGCCGTCATTTTTGCCGGGGTGGTGGCCCGTCTTCCGAACGAAAACCAATTTTTTAAAATTTCCCATACCCCTATTTTTTGCTGTTCGGGGCGCCACTGTGCGCTGTGCGGTGTGCGGCGCTACGTGTGCAACTCGTGCGGAAACCGGCGCACCGTCGTGCGCCGCAACTATGGTTTTTACCCACTCAAATGTTGATGATGCCAAGCATTGTCTGGGTCGGTAAAAAGAGGCTCAGGGGGACTGCCGGTTTAAAACAAGGACTGGTTCGGTAGTTGGACTTGCTTCCTTCTCTACGGTGTGTATTGTGAGTTTTTTGTGTGCTATTGGTTTGTGTATGAGAGCCTTGAAATGAGCTGCCTTCGCTACGGTGTCTGCTGTGAGTTTTTGGTGTGCTATTGGTTTGTGTGTGAGAGCCTTGAAATGAACAAGGTGTATGGTGATGGTGCTATGCAGAAGGAGAAATTAAAGGAGATTGCAAAGCAGACATCTGCGCGGTTGCGACAAGAAGAGGAGGAGAGGATGAGAGAGCAAAAGGCGAGAGCAAAGGCAAAGCTGGATGAGCTGGATCGCAAACAGGAACAGTCACTCCAGCGCACCAGCAACACATCTTCTGCGGTTTCAGAATCTGCTCAAGTAACCTCCACAGTGTCTACCGCAACTCCTGATCCTGTTGTGTCGGCGGCTGGGACCGATCTGTCAAGAGAGAACACAGAGGAAACAAATGTTCCAGCTGCAGCTCAGCATGTACAGGCAGGAAGAAATGGTGCTTCTAATAGAGTGGAGAACGGGAGGCGATCAGAAAGGGTTGGAGGACGTGGCGGCCGAAATAGGGAGGAGCTGAAGGCGAGGGGCCCTGGGATTCAGGACATGCAGAATCGAGAGGCTGCACGACAGAAAGTGAATGATGATACTAGGAACCCTCCCACTGCATCACATGGAGCGCAGATGCAAGCTTTGCTTCCATCTCCTGCTGCAAGGCAGCCATTGCTGCCAGCACCTCAAATTCACCAAGGATTTCTTGGGCAACCAGACCTTCAGCTACCGCAGCAGCAACGCCTGCCAGTGACTCACACCCAGCCGCAGTCCCAACCACAACCAAACCCCCAGCCAGTGCAACCACAACATCAAATCCAGCAACTGTCAAGACAGCAGCAGCCTGCGCAGCAGCAGCCAGTGCAGCAGCAGCAGCCTCAGCCTCAGCCACCACTCCAGCAACCGCAGCAGAAGCAAGTGATGCAGCAGTCGATGTCTCCTACACAGCAACAGCAGCAGAACCAGCCACAGCAGCAGCAGCCTCAGCCACCACTCCCGCAACCGCAGCAGAAGCAAGTGCTGCAGCAGTCGATGTCTCCTCCACAGCAACAGCAGCAACAGCAGCAGAACCAGCCACAACAGCAGCCTGCTCAGCAGTCTCAGCAACATCAAGCGCAGCACAATCCTCCACATGTTCATGGGCAGGTGCCACAGAATGTAAGACCTCAAGGTGGGCCGAGGCAAGGTCAACGACCTCTACAGCAGGCCAGGCAGCGGCAGCAATCACCCCAACATTCTTCGGCGTTTGTCGTGAAAGCATCTCGTGTAATCCAGGAAGGAAGTGGGTCTCAGTCCGAAGTCGCAGGTGATAATGTTGGGGATATAAGATCGGCTGGTTCGGTTATGAAAGCAGGTGGGGCTGAGACAGCGTCCAGTGCCAGCACGGGAAGTTCAGTCAGTACAAATATGGTTGACCCTCATGAAGCTCACAGGCGAAGGAGAGTCAATTCGCGAAGTGGGAGGAGCCGGCAGAAATCCGAAGGAAACCAATCTGGAGGTAGTTTGGAAGATTCTGGTCCATCACCAGCTGAGGAATGTGTCTCAGGCTCTCCAGCTGTGGCAGTGAATAACAGCGAGATCAAGAGTGCAGAACTTGAAGGTGGTGTCAATACTGTGATTGTGCCGACGGGATGGGGCAGTGAGGCTGTCAATAAACAGGAGGGGAGCGCTGGGGCTATGGATCCTAGCCATGTCCCAAGCTCGGGACTTAATTCAAGGAAGCAGCTCCCATCAAGAAGAATGTCTCAACGAGCATCTGGAGATGCAAGAGCATTTGGAGATGTTAGATTGGTTGACAAATTGCCGCCTCCGCCCTCTGGGCATGTTGGTGCTGACAATGTTGGGAGTTCAGCAGCTGTATGGACGCCTGTGCAAGATAGTGTTGGAGCTCATCCAGGCCGCATTTCATCTGCTGCAGGTGTAACTGACAGGAGCAGTGCCTCTAGTGCAGCAAGTGAGAACAGAGGATTACAAGTGGCAGCATCACGCCAAGCTGAGGATAGGGAGGAAGGGAGTGGAACCGTCCAGTCTCGTCCTAAACGTGCAGAGATTGAGCGATACCAACCTAAAGTAGTCCAGCAGCAGCAGCAGCAGCAGCAGGCTCACCAATCACTGCATGAACCAGGGATTGGAAACCAGCAGTATGTAAGACAGCCAGCTTTTCGTCAACAGCAGGTTAACCAACAGCATGGGGGCAACCGAGCACATGGGGGGGTGCAGCACCAGTCAATGAATCCGAACCATCAACAGCAGCCACACTACAGGACGCCACATGCTCCAGAACATCCACACTCCATGCAAATGCATCAGCAGCACCATCAGAATCATCCACGAAAGGGTTTGGAGCAACCACAGCCATCACCACCGCAGCCGCCGCCGACGCAACAGCAGCAGCACCAGCAACAGCCACAGCAGCAGCAGCAGCAGCTTCAGCATGGAGCTCACCAAGGTCCGGGGCACTTCGCGCATGGAGGTTCCCAGGTTGCGGATGTAAGCAACAGCCGGCAGGCGGAAAGTTTGGAAATTGGTGGTGGTAATGGCAATGGCAGTGGTCGAGTTGCCAGGGAGAACCTTGGAAACCGCAGGCGAAGAGAGAGGGAGAGAGAACGGGAGAGGGATCGTGAAAAGGCAGGTGCGAGGGAGCATTTTACAGGTGTGAAGACACAGGGCGTGCCACCACAACACTTGCCAATTCATGCTATGCACTCAGGTGGTCAAGGATCAAATCAGGGTCCGCAGACAGGTCTCCAACAGGCGCCTGGAGGGACTGCCCCTTCAAGACAACAGCAGCAAAATATGAGTAATCGAGGAATGGGTGCGCAAAGAATGCCAGCACCGGGATCTCCTCTGCCACGCAGCCCATCAGTGTCAGGTGGACCTGCAGGACGTGGTTCAGGAATAGGGCAGAAAGCAACCTTTTCCAATCCGCCAGCGATGGGTGTTCCTCAGCACAGGGCACAAGGGCAACAAGATCAATTGGCAAACGCTCAGCATTCGTCTCATCAAGCTTCTACTCATGGAGGCAATGGGAAACAGGATGGTACAAGTTCACAGCATCTAGGTAATGGCTTGGTGAGTGATAGGGGTCTCCAGCCTCGAGGGGGTGCAGGAGCTGATATGAGTGGACCAATCAGAGTGAGGGATACTACCGCAGATACAGTTATTAGGATCAGGGACACACCTCGGCGCATCCCTGGTGGGCGAGGAGCACCTATGCATGGACGCGGGCTGTCCATGGGCAATGCTGTGAATGCGAGCAGTAACATTGGGCCAGTTGGTGGAAGGGGTGGTGAAGGGGAGAGCAGAAGGGAACCACAAGCGCCAAAACAGAGGATGGTGATTCGCGCTCAAGGTGGTATGCTCCCAAACCCACCTCCACCTCCTGTTGGTCAGTCTGCAGGTTAGGTGGGAACTTGGCTGCAGGAAGGACCCTGATGCAGACTACTTCATCTCGTTTGAGTTTGGAACAGCGTTGATCGATCTACAATGCATTTTGGCAAATTACGGCTGCTGATGATGTATGCATGCTTCGAAGGAGGGGAGGTATTGAGGGTTGCCCTTGGCTCGAAGCTCCACATCACTCCCATTTAGGCTTCGGAAAGTTATCCCGTCGGTGCAATCCTTTTTGTAGCCGAGTGTGCCGGATCCTCCGGATGCAACTGTTGGGAAAGGACTCCTTGCTTTTCATGTTTTCATGGATGTGTTTGGCGAAGGGAATGTGGACTTCAATGGTGTATTTTGGCAAGCGAACGGAGGACTTTTGAGGCAACCTGTAATATGCAGATGCATGCTTGTGCAAGGATTTTTGAAGAGAGCTGCTGACTGTAAGAAGTCCACTGGATCTGTGTGATCCGTTTGATGGCAATACGTCAGCTATGCAAGGGGTGGAAGGATGTGTATATGACATGTGCTGGAGCTGTCAGGACATTAGTAAATAATTTCTGATAAACTTGGTAGGGTGCCAGTGCGGTGGCAGCATGACTGGTAATCGGAGAAAAAATGAAGGGTGCACGGAACTCGGGGCGGGATCATGTCACAAGCTGGAGGTCTGGTGTTTCTAGGATCATGTCCACATCATGCGGGGTGATGTTCTGTGATTGCTGTGGATGTGGCAGGTTCTTTCTGGGAGAGATGGAGGAGAAGTGTGTCGTAGGGGTGTGGTATGATGATGTGAGGGGAGGGGCAAGCCCGGCGGACACGTGGTAATCAGGCTTGTAGAAAGACTGCAGAGTCCTTGATCGTGGAAAAGGACCGCGTCGTGATTGGGTGGTCAGTTGCCTGTGTGAATACGGCAATGGATATTTAACTTTCCGTACGGCCTGCCACAGAGGGTTCAAGTTTGGCATTTCTGCAATGCTCTGTACATCCCACAGGGCGATTTACATCGACCAGGGCACCTAATGTGATTGCTGGGGTATAGCCGATTCCTTGTACAGCAGACGGTAGAAAGGGATGTCATTGAGTGGATCCTGATCGTCCTGTTGATCAGTATTTGGCACGTGCGAAGTACTCACAGGTTTGTGAACTGGCGAGAATGCTCTTGGTATGCAGATGAGGGGACGGTTTTGGGTGCGCCATGGAAGTGAAGATCAATTTGTATGTTATGTCGCTCTACATTTATTGATAGTGTGTGGGCGGGGACTGTAAAATTTGTGAGGTGTGTTCTTCATGGTGCACCTGGCATGCCATCTGGTGAAGGGATTCTGATGGGTGTGGGAAAGCAGGGGACTGCACCAAGCAGGGGACCGCACCTGTTCGATGCCTTCCTCCAATTAGAAAGCAGGGAGCAAGATGGTGACACTGGTTGATTTGGCTAATCGTCAAGGAGTGATGTGTCCCAGAGTTTGGACCAGATTTGGGACCACAGTGTGACGAAGGTAGCCTGTGGATGATTGATCTTTCAAGATATCAATGGCCGTTTTGGTAAAGCTGCCATTACTGGGTACTGGATGTATATGGGTGTCGATCGTGGAAGCGCACTTCAGCTGTCGTTGAGTTGGCTATGGAGCTAGGCCACCGGAGAACATAACGCTTATGCAGGTGTTATTTTCGCTGTGGATTAGGGACCTTCAATCTTCTGCAAGGAAGATGGATAGCAACTGCTGCCTCTGGCAAAATCTAAGATTGTGCGTTTGTGCATCAGCTGAGGCCAAGCCGGACGGCACGAGGCATTGGTGCAACAACGCCCTGCCAGATATCGCTACAAGGAGGTTTGGGAGGCTCTTTGCCCTGGCTCTGGGGAGGTGTAGGCGCTAACAGTTCCAGTTTCTTCTGAAAATTATTGGTCTGGCTGGGCGTGCATGCCTTGCACAAGGTTGTGGTGGCCTCGGTTTTGCCTGGCCAACAGTTTGCATAATTCAGCATGTTGTATCTGTTTGATCCGGGCACGTTGAGGACTGTTTGTTCAGGTCTCCCCTGAAAGGAAAGTCAGCATATGGATTTGGCGGTTGACATGGATGCTCTGTACTGATGATGGTTCAATTTAAATCTAAACCAACTTTTTTTTTTCTTCAATATTTGTGTTGTTCTGCAAGCCAGCAGGTGCGGTGAATTTCCTGCCTGTGTAGGGACGGGTTGTCGCTCAGAGCGTAGCTTTTTTCTTGTGTATGGTATTCCAAATGCTTCGCTGAGACAGAGCTTTCGTTTGGTGTGCCTGGAAGTCGACATTGTTGTTCAGGTAAGAGTGTTTGTTCGTCAGGCATGCTTCAGCGATCAGGCTTAGCTGTCTTTGCCTCAACCTCTGACGCCAACCGCAGCGGCTCTGCCACGACCACCACCTCCACCTCTTTCCTGCCTGTGTCAGAGCCTCGCCCATTTACGGATTCATGGACCGTCGTTGATGACATGCTATCCCGCTCGTCAACCCAAATGGAGGAGGAGATTGTGCTGCCTGCCTCCTGATAAAGGGGTTGTGCAGCAGCCTGCCTCAAGTGTCAGGTTGGACGCTTACGACCTCTCCACCACGCACGCCGTCTCGTCTTCTGCACCTGATCTTCTTTCTTCTGATCTTGATCGTGTGCTTCACGGTACACCAGTCTCGATTTGGTACCACAGCGGAAGGCTGTGCTTTCCCCACCCAAATGTGAGGAGCCAATCATGTTTGCACCCATGTACAATGGGAAGGACCATCCTTGCTTGCAGCATGGAGAACTTCCTGGAGGCTGTCGACGCTCATAGCACTCGTTTCAAGAGTGACCGGGCAGTGAAACAGTTTTTTGGAAGATGCGGATGTGAGAGGGTTGCTGTGGCCACCTCCTTTCTGACCTCCCTCCCTTTCCCCCCGTCCGCCCTAAACATGTCCTCCACCTGTACTGACCTTTTCTGTGCCACATCTCCCGGCTTCAGGTTTCCTGCAATTTGTGTAGAAATTTTCCATTACAAGCCCTCACGGCTGGCGACTTTGAAATGTAGGGGCTGGCATGGTTGCAGTCAGTCCTGTCTACTTGGTTCTGCGGAGGCGATTCGTTCCCTAGTGAATGATTTGGTCAGCTTGGAATCAGGAGGCCAGGTATTTTCAGGGGTTGGAATTCAGAATAGTCTGTGCAGTGTGCTCTTGTGTAACATGGAAACGAAGTCGCACTGGCCGAAGTCCCAGTGGCCGTTTCAACGGACTGTTTGTTGTTTTCTTTTTCCCGTCTAAAAGGAGATTGACATTTTGTTTTCACCAAATACTTCAGCGGCACTGTCCAACTGATTCAAGGGAGATCGGCAGGGGTTGCTCCAGAAACCCGTACAAGAGTATGCCATGTTTTGCCAGTGTCTTGTCCACCCGATTCTTATTCGATTCTTTCTGTTATGTTCCTTTCGCTTGATGGCGCAGTGTGCCAAGTGCCCGAGGTCATGTCCCCCTTGTGCTTCGGGGAAGGTCCTTCATGGCAATTGGAACAACCGCGTGCTTGGAATTTCATTCACAGGGCCTTGTTTCGCTTTGCTTAGGCCCACTGCATGATAGTCTTCTCTGCAGTTCATTGGCGATTTGCCTCTGATTTCGCTGCAGGGCATGATTTATGCTCTTCTACTTAGAGCAGCAGCAGCGAGCTTGGTGGAAGTTGTAGCAGTGATCTTGTGCAATCCAAAAGGGCTGTAAAACATCGAAATCTTATCTTCTTCTTCTTCTTCTTCTTCTTCTTCTTCTTCTTCTTCTTCTTTTGTTTAACCTTTTTGGCTTCATGTTTTTTCCTAAAGATTTGTAAAGTGTCTTTCCTAAATTTGCTTACATATTTCTCATTGCCTGTGCTTCAGTGTGTTGGTTGTTTCCTCCCTAGGAAACTTTCATGTTGGCGTCTCCTCCCTGTTTCTTCATATCGTGTGATTACAGGTGTGTGTCTTCTCCCTGTTTCTTCACATTGTGTGATTACCATCGCACACTCCCTGGATTCTCTTGGCGAGCCTGCCATCGTGGCAATTCTTCTGTTTTTCTCTGTTCTAATTGAGAGTTTGGACAGGTTTGAGCGAATGCTTCCAAAAGCAACAGGTCAGTATGCCATAGGGCTCCACACATGTTTAATTGCCAGGTATGCAAAATTGGTGTGTCGCAAAGTCGTGTATTATGTGCGCGTGGAAGTCTGGAGTGCTGTCTGGAGTGTCTAGCAATGGCGCTTGGCCCATGCAAAAGCCTTTCAAATGACGTTCACCAGCCGTTTGAGCGGGTCGTCAACATTCTTCTGAGAGAGAGGTGATGTGTGCCGTTTGCCGTTTGTGTTATTAGTGGCTCTGTGTACGAAACGTCTCTTTTTGCCTCTACCTTTCTTTGTGTGCCTGGTTTAGTTAGTGCCATTGTGTCATGCAAAGGGACTAGAGGGCAGTTGTGTAGATGTGGCAGTGTCTTGCTGAACGTGGAAGGAAGCCATTGTGTCACGCAAAGGGACTAGATGGCAGCTGTGGGAATGTGGCATATACTACGACACCGGCTCCTCATGTTTGATTGATCCTCGATGTGTTGAGTGATAGGAACGCTTGGAGCCAGAGATCCGCTGCCTTGCTGCCCTTGGTTTGGTGTTCTTTTCCAGTGTGAAGGAAAGTTGTAGCTAGCCTGATCGCTCGAGCGGTCGGTCTGACTTTCTTCTTCACTCCTTGGCATATGTTTTCAGCAATGGATACCTCAGTGAACCCTCTCCCTGTTTCCTGACATTGTCTCTTGTCTTTTTTCTTTTTCTAATGATCATTTCTATGTTTTATTTTCTTTTTATTGTTTCTTCTCCACTCCCTTTGGCCAGAAGCTGCTCATCCTTAAGAGTACGGCCGGGCGTGAGAGGTCCGCACCTCCAGAATTTAAAAGGGTTGTCGGGGGCATGCTGGACACCACAGGATGCATGGTGTGCTTAGCCGGCCGCTGCACAGCCTGCACCCCATCTCTGGAATTTTTTTCCCAATTTTTTTTTTTTGGATACTGTACTCTCAATGTTTCATGGTTTGTTGCCTTGATCACCGGGACTATTTTGCTTTTAATACTTTGCACTTGACAACCTGGAACTCTGTCCTCTGGAGTCTGCATTTGTTCACGTTGGCATGTACGACTGACTGGTTGTTGGGCGTGGAATGGAATTCAACCAACCGTACCTCCATTGCTCCTCGAATCCTCGGTTTTCCGATATGTGATTTGCCTGCCCCTGGAAGACTGCACCATTGTGGGGCAATGGCCTATCCAACAGTCGATTCACAGTGCTATTTTCTTCTCTCAATGTATTTTTTCATTCCACCTCACACCAACTACCACTGGGAATCACGATCACACCAACTGCCACAGGAGGAGGGAAATGGTTAGAGGGGACCCTCCTATATTTATCCGCTCTACTCTGTACGGGGATGGTAGTCAGGGCAATAACCCCCAGCGAGGGATCGCCGGATCCCGGACTCCTGCCAAGAGCAGCCAACTATCTATCTCAGCCGGTGAACACAAAGTGCGCTGTAGGGCGACGTGGGGAACCGCACGGAAGATGTTGGGGATCGAACCCACGAGCTTCTGAATGCAATGTACGCGCTCTAATAACGGAGCTTTGCTGCTGGCCCCTGCACACGGCGCTTTTAGTCCACTAGGCCTAGCTTTTTCATGATATTGACCCTATTGTTTGCCTGCCTCATTATGGCAGAGCTACCTGGGAAGGCTACCGATGGTGTGACCAAATTGGCACCCCTCTGAAACAGATGATTTCCTGCAGGGACCCAAGCGAGCTAGTTCGGTTCGTTGAGCACGTAAGTGGTATTCCGGAGGTCGCGGGTTCGATTCCCTGCGCCGTCCATTCGATCTCCCGCTGCTCCCTGTGGTACGCCTTCGGGTTCACCGGTGGAGATACTTGGCTTGGCCCCCCTCGCTGGCCGTGGAAGTATCGCTTCGCTTTCCACCTCACGCCAGGTGTTAGGAGCTGAGGTACTGCTTCTCGCATAGAGCAGACCCCGGGAATCCAACCCGTCACCTTTAGTGTCACATGCTTGTGGTCCACAGATCAAGAGTGTATCATTCCACGCCAGGTAGGAAGGTACTGGGAGGTACGTTGAGAGAATATAGGTTAGGTTTTCAACAACAACAACAAAAAAAAAAAAAAAAAGACGTTGTCAGGTAGGTAGGGTTTTCTGAATGAAATCTGCCCTGAAGTCCAGTGTTGATCGACAGCGGTTTCAACCAGTCTGAGCCTCCCACCAATGCTGTGGGGGAAGCGGTGGGTTTTCCGCAAGGGCGTTAGTTTTGTCGACCCTCTGTGGACCTGTTCTGTATTATGCTAATGCCATGATTCGTGTTTCTGTACATGTCGATTTAGGAAGCTGTGTGGATATGGTCGTTCACGTGCAAGAAGCAATCTGTTCGTTCTATGGCACTATTTTCTGGCATTCCTGAATGAAGTAGTACACATGCACATGTTTTTATTAAATTTTATAAGCATTACTGTTGACAGTGTTGAGCGATGGTTTTACCAGCTTTGTGCAGAGTGTGCGCAGCAGCAGCAGCAAATTATGGGAATGGAAAGGGTGTGGAAACACACGCGTGTATATAGGTCTTGTTGGTCTCCGCAGTTTGTGCAATTGGAGTTGGATCTAGCTCTTGAAGATATGTGGTTGCTGCTCATCTGATTCCAATCAACCGGGTTGTGTCTAATGTCCTGCAAGCGCTATTTGTTGATCTCTTCCGTCTCTGGGTTCGTCTTTGAGTCCCTTCCTGAGGACTTAGTGAACTGGGATGCTCATTCCTTCATTGGATGCTGCCAGGCTTGTGCTGTAAACCTCACATCTCTGTCTCTGCCTACTTTTAGAGGATGACTGTCATCTTTGATCCAATGAGCGAAGAACTTGTCTATGACTAAGTCTATCTTAGCTTCCCCGGGCAGGGCAATGAACTCAGTGTGTACTTACCGACCCTGTCAACAACAACCATAACTCGCCTGTTCCCTGATCTACTCTTGAACTTAGTATCCATGGAATCTATAAATAGCGATCCTCTAAGATCCATGGAATCTATGAATAGCGATCCTCTGGGTGCTCAGGGAATAGTGCTCAGCAATGAGTAGCGATCCTCTAAGATCCATGGAATCTATGAATAGCGATCCTCTGGGTGCTCAGGGAATAGTGCTCAGCAAGCCTAACGGTGAGTGTGTAGTACTCCTATTGCAGTGGCAGACTTCCAGACGCTAAGAGCCTGCGTTGCTCGCATCCTGTGATACATCTGGTGCTGTAAAACTCCATGCCCACCTCCTCTGGGTGCTCAGGGAACAGCGATCCTTTGGGTGCTCTGGGAATAGCGCTCAGCAAGCCTAAAGGTGATTGTGTGGTACTCTTATTGCAGTGGCATACTTCCAGACTCTAAAAGCCTGTGATATATCTGGTGCTGTAAAACTCCATGCCCACCCACGTAAACGAGCACGGTAAATTGGGACAAGTCTTCTGCTAACCAAAGTGCCTATTAGCATCATGGCATTCCCCCAAGATTGTGCTGCGTATCGGCTCATCATTGTGGGTAAGTAGTCAGTGTTCTCCCAGAGAGGTTGAAAAACAACAGCATGTTCGTCGAAGCACCAGTCCATCGGACCCTAAATTTGTGAACCAAAAAATGCTTTCTTCTGAGCATGCAATGTAACAGTGCATGTTGTTGTTCTCTTTTGAGGTAGGTGTACCTGTACCAGCCTACCTTGACATTTAGTGTCGCACCTTGTGCCAGCAGACGTAAAGAAAAAAAATAGAGACCTTGACTGAGGAGGGCATACATACTAGTACTTTTCAGAATGTGTCTGACCACTAATAATGGCCAAATCTTTGTTGTTGTTGTTGTTTCTTCTATTTTTTTTCTCTCAATGTCCTGCCAGCAACGCAGGGCGTATTCCGCAGTCTCAGGAAACGCCCTCGCTAAGTGCCCACTCAGACTAGTACTTTCCAGAATGCATCTGACTGCTATCACAGTCAAAATGTTTTTGTTTCTTTTTTTTCCCCTTTTGTTTCTTTCTTTTCAGCCCAGCCCAGTTTGTTGCAGGGCTGGCCCCGCAACCGAGCAGGCTGGACCTAACCTGGCCGATTTGACCCGTGGTCCGAGGCCCAAGCTGAATTCCGGTTCGGCCTAAAACAGGTCCATGTTGGTACTTCTTTTTAATGAAATCATGGTTGGGCTGCAAGATCTCTTCACATCCGCAAAGTCGGGAAGAAGAAGAGGAGGAAGAAACAGAAGCACAGGGCGGGGGTGGGGGTGGCTATTTCAGGGGTTGGGGGTTGGGTGGGGTGCAGAAAGAAGAAAAAAAAGTAAAAAAACATGGTGGCTATGGCTATGTCGACCATAGGGAGACATGGAGAAGAAAGAGCGGGGAAGCAGAAGGACTTTGGAAAAAAGAAAAAAGAAGTGTGGCCTATTGCTCTGGCTACCTTTGGGGGAGAAGAAGGAGCAAAGAAGGGAAGGGGGGGGGGGGAGGAGGAAGAAGTTAACTCTCGAAGAAGAAAAAAAAATACAATTGTAGCTTATGACTGGAAGGACGAGAAGAGTAGACGGAGGAGGACGAGGCGGGAAGATGGAAATCCTGTCTCTTATACACATCTAGATGTGTATAAGAGACAGCACACACACACACACAAAAAAAAAAAAAAAAAAAAAAATTCAGACGAAGGTAAGAACTTTTTGGTCATGCGTGCTGGACAGACGCGATTGCGTGCACAGTGGGCCGGTGGGTGTTGATCGCGATGGGTTGTGGCTTCCTTGCAAGCAGATGCAGGCGATGACATGCAAGCAGATTCACATGCAGGTCGGGCGAAGTGGTGCATATACGACCAGGAGAGGTGCGAGGTCTGTAGGAGGGAACTGGAGATCGGTGCGACTTGCCCAGCTCCATCACACAACCGTCTATATGCACCTTTTCGTGATTGGGGGTGAAGTCCATGTAGAGTGTTATGGGGTGAGGCAAGGCTGCGGAGTGAATCGGGCCTGGGCCGGTGGTTTCCTGCCGACGACGTGTGAAGAGGGTGGCTTGTTCGGCCGCTAATCTCTGTTTTCAAATGTGA